GTCACTCCACAGAGTTCACTCCGTCACGAAGGAGGAGTGTGTAGGGGTAGGGTGTAGGGCGTGGTTTGGGATTGGGCCACTGAGCCAATAGGCTTGTTTGAGACGAGCTGCGGCTCGCCTTGAAAGTAGACGAGAATAGCCGATCGCAGCCGGGGGAGGTCTCAAAAAGTCTAAGTCAACATTTATTATCAGAAAATTGAAAAAGTATCGACTATATGATAACTAAACTGTAATGTAGGGTTTCTGTTAAAGTAGGTTGTCCTTTCAGAAAACATAAGGGGTTGACTATGACATTGACTGTACACATTATGTGCTCTACCCCTTTATTTTTAATTGTCTGTTGATATTGAACGTTTCAGTTTTTGGGTAAAGGGATGTGTTAGTGGAGGCAGAATATAGTATTAAATACCTTTTATTATTTGTCCCACTGGTTTTTAAAGTTGATTATGTCAGGACAGGAGCTGTGATGTCATACAGCACACGGACAGTGAGTCCCCCCACACTGAAAAACTGAACCGCTGACTTTAATTAAATGTATTATGTCAACAGATTTCACATAACTGTATAAGGTTAGTTGAAAGCAATACTATTAAGATGAACCTAATATTTTGTATTTCAACTTACAATTATTGCTTTCAGCTAACCTAATACAGTTATGTGAAATCTGTTGACATAATATATTTAATCAAATTCAATGTTTCAGTTCGTTCAGTCTCGCAGTGACTTAAGGCCCAGAATCTCATGACTCCATTCCTCGTCTCTTGGCTCCATAATTACAGAATAATTGTCTCGATATATCTTACTCAACAGGGAGTACTTAACCACTGAAACCGTGAAATAACAGACTGGGACGAGATGATCTGCCCAAGTCAGCGGTATTACCCACTCTCTGATGGGAGAACAGACAGGAGGGATGTAGAGTGTCGGGGGGTGGGGGTGGTGGGCTCTCCCACGCTCCACCGGTCCACAGCCTCCTATGTCTACAAAAAACCAGCACAAAGGCCCCAACCCACATTTGACGCTTTGTGGCCGTGGACACAAGGAGAGGCCGCCCATCTCAGAAAATAGAACTCAATTAACAGTTTAGCTGCAGGCATATTGGAACATAGTTTCATTAACGAGATGAATACAGTCTGATAATTACTTCATCTCAATTAGAAAAAAAGGCTGCAGTCTATATTGATTGTGGCTGATGAGCTTGAAGGTTAATTAGGAGCACGATATTTCAAAAATCTGTCCTGCTTTGTTGTTGTTTGACATTTGTGGGAACTGTTTGTCGTTGCGTTGCCTCGCTTCAGTTTTTTAAGGACTCTTTAGGTCTTTCTGACCCAATAAGACTACTTGATTTCCTCCATTCAACAAAATGTTTGTCTTTTCTCTCAATAACATGCCTCTCTCCTAACCTTGACTGCAGCTCGTGTTTGAAGTGGTTTCTGCCTCGTTGTTCTGCTGTGAGCCACCAGAGGGCGCCGTGGCCCTTTAGAAAGGCTCAGCAGGAGTGAGACGGTTCACCAAGCCCTATTAATGCACCTGTGCAAAGCCAAATGGAACAAACTAATAGTGCATTACCATTAACAATACAAATTACACCATTAGGCACACTTGGCTCTCGGGCCTTGTGTTAGCTATAAATAGTTCACTTGGTCTTGGACAATTTGTGCTGTACTTGCATAATGACAGCAATCAAATGAAATCAGCGTGTGCAAATGGGGTACACATAAAAACGCATGTACGTGTATGTTGAGAAAAAGCACATTTTGGGCTTTTTTTTTATTTTTCAGAAATCCTCTTCCTGAAGAACCACCTTTGCAAGAGGGCTTGAACCTTGGCACCAGCAGGCCGAACATAGGTCACATCTCTCACTGCCACCCTGACGGAGCATTTGATCCTGGTATTGCTGAAGCTGTGCACAGAGTAATGACCTCCTTTTGTCAATGAAAGTTGGCTGGAATGCCAGAAATGGCCCTCTGGATCTGTTTTGGACCCTTTCTCATGACCATAGGAGACCCAGCACAGTTTCTGCAGCTAGCTGACCTCAAAGTGGTTTCAATACTGCTCCATAAAACTAACAGAGCAGAGGCAGCTTGACTGCCCCACACTGGGACTGTGGACAGGACCTTAAAGCTCCTAGCCAGTGGGGACCATTATGTGTACTACTTTTCTCTGTGTTTTATGTAAATGCACCACACTGAAATGGAAGGTAAAATTAAGCCAGCATGTCAGAGGCACTGGGCCAAGTAAGTGATCCTGATATTCCTTTTTTACTGGAGCCTGATGCACATGATGGATTGCAGTTGATGTGTGGGGTGGGGGGGGCGGGGTGATGGAAGCAATCATCCTCATAAACCATTGTCAGATTCATCCATTAATAGTTTCTTGCCCTGTTACTCTTTGACATTTGATGATGTGAAAAGTTAAGTTAAGCAGGACTACTGCTTTGTCTCGGTGTGTGTTCCTCTGTTCTTTTGTTGCTGTTTTGAGTGCATAGTTGCATTCACTCTGACAAGTGTGGAAGATGCAGTGCACTATGGGTACTCATGACTGTTAACAGTTAAGTTTGGAGCGCTTGAATGGCCGCCATTAGGGCTACGTAGTGTAAGGGAAGGTTTCATTAACGATGGCTGTCCAGTGAACACAGCACAATACAAATGTAAGTAATACATGTTTTGTTTTTGCCACTATTCTGTTGATGCCATCGGAATGTTTATTGGGTTCATTTAGCTGTGAGTACTGCGAACAATAACTAAAAAACTAGCTAGCTTACAGTGATGATCGTGGCTTCCAGTAAGTTAACAGGCATGGGCCATTTCAGACAATGTATTATAATTTCATATAATATAAGTGTTACATTTCTCTAAAGGATATTTGAAAAATCCAAAGGGTTGACCAACAGACTTATTGCTGTTCCTTTTTTAAATCTACAAAGCCTCTCCAAGCAAACAAATATTCTGCCCAACAAGATAACAAAATATATAAAACGGTAAGCCTGTGGTTACCTGAATAGTGAACTCAGTTGCAACTTGGGAAATAGGGTACAAATCTTTTTTATCAGGCAGAATCCTTTATTCTTAAAGTTGTCGAGACGTTTTACTCAAAACTACTAACTTGATTTTTGCGTTCGTCAGAGAATGTGAGTCACGATGTTTAATCATCTGAGGATCATGAATATCTGTACACATTTTCATGACAATTCATATAGGCCTCACAGCTGTTCAATAGGGTTCAAATTCCTTTAATAGCTTCAGAGACAGAATGTTGACCTCATGGTTGTGCCACAGGAATCTTTTTATATTCATCCTCTGGGGACCATGAACGTGGGTACAAAATATCAGGGCATCAAATCGTTGTTATAAAGTTTCAACCAAAGTTTTGGCGACATCACAAATCACCAGGCCACTCTCCCAAAATGTATGGGTTGTCTTCTCAGGCAACTATTTCAACCTACATGTGCATTTATTGATGCACAACAGCCTCTAATGCAGTGGTTCTCAAACTTTTTCTGTCATTCCCCACTTTGAACAGGTGGGCCTTTTCAAGCCCCACCTGTTCCTCATTGCTCCAATAAAATGGTAGGCCAAGCTTAAAATTGTCAAATGTATCGTTCTATAACGGGGGTCTCCAACCTTTTTTAGGATGAGAGCTACTTTAAAAAAATACAAGTTTTTCTAGTAAATAAATAAGTAATTAGATACCTTACCGTTACTGCGCTCATCAAGAACGATAAGAATATTGCGTATTGAACTGGTTTAATTAATTAGTGAGTTTATTTAAGGTAATTAGTTAGAAGCCCTATTTTATCAGTAGCCTACTGTATGTCTTCACAGCAGTTACAATGGTCGAACTACATTAAAACAGAATTGTAGATATTTTAATGAGATATGGACCGCAAAACAAAAAATGTGCCTGAATAACGAATTTAGCAGTTGGACATAAAAGTCAGGGGGGGGGTGGGGAGAGGCCCTTTTTCCAGTTTAGAGCAATAGCCCCTCCAAATGTCTGTGCACGTCCCTGATTTCACATGTGTGTATGAGAGATTTTTACATATGTCTGTTAATGATTTTGGTTTCAGTTGTGTGCGTGAGCAGGCTCGGTTTGGCCATCGGGAGATTCGGGAGTTTTCCCGGTGGGCCGCTGCCGTCGGGCCGCTGCCGTCGGTGGGCCGCTGGCTCTTGCATAGGTGGGCCGTGGACTTTCACAGCGCCGCTGAGCCGGTACCGCATCCGGCGCAGCGGCGCTGTGAAAGTCCACAGCTGTTTAGAGTCTCCGACTGTAACAGTCCACTACCGCCCGCGAGGACCCAGGTTCGATTCCGGCCTGAGGTAAACAAAATATATGAAAAGAAAAATCTCCCGTTCATCGCGTCCATTCGCGACCCACCCATCTCTGCCCCACACTTTGAGAAACGCTGCTCTAATGGGTGGATTAATGCTATTGATGCAAGCAAAGTTACTTAGTACAAAAAGCGACAAAGTCCCAGAGTTATAGCGTCCTTGAGGTTGTGATGGATGAACAACAAACAACAGTAGGCCTACTTTCACCCAGGAGGCTGCTGTCTTTGTGAAATCAAAAGTTAAGAAGTGGACTTTTATCCAATTTATGTGTCTAAGTTATGTAATATACTTATATGTGCGTATGTTCTGAAACTAGCTTTCCCCAAACTGTGACCTTTTCTGAAACCTAACCAAGTAGTTTGGTTTCAATTTGAAATCACACCGTAAACCAAATGTTTTAAACTGCAAATGTCCCACAATGTGAGCCTGTCGCTGGGACTCCCCATGTGTGTTGTTCTAGGAGTCAAACAACCATTCCTGTAGTCTCAGTATTTGTACATGTTATAAATCACAGACAGCACTTTACCTGAGCAGTAATCTGGACATACATCCTGCTGGTCAGGCTCCTTTTATAGATACACTCTTATCAATTAGAAATGTGGACGTGGAGATCACAGCATCACATCCATGATTTACATGTAGAAGTACATGATGTAATACACAATGGACAATATGAGGCTGAGCCCGCACAGGAACCTGTGTGATGGTCTTAATTAGATTGCTGTGTTGTAGTTTGACCTTGGTGGAGACTCTCTCTCGTCTCTCTTGCTCTTGGTGGCGCTGGCAGAGTGGAGCATGGGCATTTTCTCCTGGAGGGTAGGAGAGAAATGCAATCAGCAATTCAATCGTGGCCATTGTGTAGCAGTGCTGATGAGCTTTGCAGAGTAGATAATGGATTAAATTATTTATCCCCCCCCCCTCCTCCTCAGTGCTTATTGTTGCCTCCTCTTTGTGCTGCTACAGCGGTACACAGGCGTAGGTTGAAGGCCTAGATCACTTGCTGCCTTTCATAGATCTAATTTTTCTAATTAGCACTTGAATGCAGAGCGTTCCCCCCCCCCCTTTACCCCCTGCCTCCGCCGCAGCCTCATTGTCAGATGCGTTCCGTGAGGTGAGCATGTGAGCCTATCAGAGTCCAATTGAATGACGGAGGACAGCAATGTACCTTCACACTGCTGCCACTCCTCCCAGCACTTCTCTTATTGAAGCGCTAAATGATCTTGATAATAACCTAATCAAGGACACTTTCTTCAAATGGATGCTATTAGACCGCAGCAGCTGTGCAGAGGACTGGCTGTTCCAGGATCAGGAACACAGTGACCAAAATGTCACTGCTCTAAGTGTTTTCAATTATGTGCTGACCATATGGAGGAAATAGGAAAGCTGCTGGATACAAACTATAAATTTAAACATGGGCAATCCATACATGATATGGAATATTGAGGCCATCAGTCATAGAGCTCAATACGCAGGACGGAGTTTGAGATCATTCCTGTTTCTAACGCAGCATCATTATCAGCAGATCATCAGGGTGCTTTAACTACAGTGATGCTGCAATAATGCTAGTGATTATTTCAGCGTTCAAAATAAGATGAACTTTATTTATCTTACAAAGGCAAACACAGTGTCTGCAGCAAAGAGGAAGAAGAGTGTATTGCTGCCATGTCAGAAAAAGAAATACCATGAAATTATATTTGATATATTGTGGTAAAAGATCTTGTTATAACTATTAATTTCTCACGGTAACATGTTGAAATTATTTTTGGGCATGACACTAACACTGTCATAGGAAACATGCATTTCAGGGAAATAAGCAAATTATCAACACACATTATTTTGTATAAGTTTCCCAGTAGATTAAACAAGTGAGAAGTTTTGGTTTAACATGGAGCCAAAAAACGGACAGAATGCAGGTACAGAGTATCTGTTGGATCAACAATGTGACTATACAAATACCTGTTTAGAAAACATCTAGGTAAAAGGGTTTTACTTTGCAAGTAAAAAAAAGGTTAGTGAAATGGAAACATGAAGGAATACATTTTTAAAAGTTTTAATTTCATTAATTTGTTAACTTTAATTATAAGAAATAGAGGAAAATTAGGAGCTTTATATATTTTTTTCCATCTAATTCTTGTTTAAATCACTGTTGTCTCCAACATGCAGTTCTCCCCATGTATTATATTTATATTAGGGCCGGGACGCGATTACAAAAATTAATCTAATTAATTACAGGCTTTGTAATTAATTAATCGCAATTAATCGCATTTTTAATCGCATATAAATATTTGACCTGAGAACAGTGAGAAGCAATTTTTTTCACATGGATTTTAGTATACCATTGAATAATGACTGAATACATAAGCTTAAGCAACAAAACATTGTTTATTTTTTTCAAGGCTATACTTAACAAAGACCAACAGAAAAGTGAAATTTTTGCCATAAAGTGTAGCAATAGCATATTTAGGAATACAGTACATTTCAGAGATTCAGGTAGCCTATAGGTAGGTAGACCTTCTGTAAACTATAACACTTTGTTTTTGAAGTATAACACAATACTTTCAAGTACATTCAGAACATTGGAAACCCTGACTATTAGAAAACATCTCTCTGTTGCTTCAGAGGCCATAACAGACTTTGTTGATTTACCAACAGTTGATTTAAAAAATCTAATCAATTTCAGTCCAACTCTCTCAATAACCTTGGCCAAAACAATAAACAGTTCAACATAAAGTGCCAGTTGCACCAACAACGTAATAAATAGTTCAACATAAAGTGTACCATTTAAAATAAAATAAATAAAAAAGTGCCAGTGATTGACCTCAATCCAAAATAATATTCTTTCAATATCCTGATGAAAAATAAAATCTCTCTGTTGCATAGGCCACTGTTTGATCAACGCGAATTGGGTGTGGGGCCTTGTACTCCGAGTCGGGCTAACGTCCACGCTAGCTTCTACGCTAGCTGCTATATGTTTTGCATTGAGGTGATACTTGAGGCTTGATGTGCTGCGGTGATATGCGAATTCCTTTTTGCATAATTTGCAAACAACTGTGCTCTTATCGACTCTTCCCTCCGTCCGTTTTTTAAAACAAAATGTCCCATCCACGGGGCCAACCAAAGCGGTCTCATCAGCTTCTTCGTTCACGTTTGACTATTGTTCACTGTGGTTTGTTGTTGTCTGAAGTAATGAACGTTAGTTGGTGCTCCAGTATAATCGGTACCCCTGAAACTCATCCAGTGAGAAACGTTCCGCGGTGCAAAAATAAGTGCGATTAAAATGCGTTAATTTTTTTAACGCGTTAATTTTTGTGTAATTAATTAATCTTAATTAACGCGTTAAAGTCCCGGCCCTAATTTATATATATATATATATATACAGTATATATATATATATACAGTATATACAGTATATATATATATATATACAGTATATATATATATAATACATGGGGAGAACTGCATGTTGGAGACAACAGTGATTTAGACAGTATCATTCTTAATCCTCATCATCTGGAAGTAATGATGTTTAAACTGGGAGAAATATTCAAATTAAAGACTTTTTATGGCTCCATCAGTCCATCAAATATAAATGGATTCTCAGCTTGACATATTTGGTCTGTTTGGAATCTGTTGGAACCCCCACAATTTATGTGGGTTGAAAAAATGTTTGGCTTCACAACAAAAGTTTGTAAAGCCACAGCGGATCAGTGAAGTTTATTAAAACAGAATTTAGCAACTTTTCATTTTTTGCCCTTCAACTATTTGGCAATTCAGGTATACTCTTGTCAAGTGTGTCTTTGAGGGTGTAGTTTTGCAATATTCTATATCATAGTATGAAGAGTTAGTGATGCCTGTGTGGAAGAGCGGTTCCTCTTACGGCTAACACCGCCCAGTTGTGTTGACACAGGATGAAGTTGTTGTTGTTGTTGTTGTTGTTGTTGTTGTTGTTGTTGTTGTCTGACAGGCAGAACGTGGTGATGCAGACTCTACACACTCCCCGGTGTTGTTGTGTCCGGTGCATGTACTGTAAGTTCCAGAGCAGTGGGCCTGCTTGTGTTACTTCTGTGGGCCGCCTCCCTGACAACTGGCAACAAAGGTTCCATTGAGCAGAGGCAGCAGAGGGCTTTGATGGGTAATCTGCATGCGTTTGTAGAGGGAAACTGGAGCCGGGTTAAAGGAAACAGGTGCAACTAATTACAATATCCCCAGTCCCCTCTTCTCTGGATTTCCTCCTGCTCCCTCCGTCTTTCATTTTCTTTATCATCCCTATTTTCCGTACTGCGAAATCTATCACATGAAACTCCCTAATGAGACTCTACTTTACACACACACGCTGCAATAAGAGCGAGCGTGCAGCTTCATTCCCTCCTTCCTCAGGTCAGATATCAAAGCAGCGAGGTGAAATCTACGAGGGAGGGAGCAGGAAGACTTTTTAATTTAATACTTCACGCCACACGTTTTGTGGCTTTGTTCTTTGCACGTCATCAACAAGCTTTTAACTGAAAGCAGGATGACACACTCCTCGGGACATGGTCTCTTCGGCAGAGTGCACTTCTTCTGTGTGAACAACGCTGGGCTTGTAGGCTCAGTGTACACTGCGGAATAATGGCAATCTGAGAGGTTTCTATAGCACCTGGCTCAAAGTGATACCTCTACAGGAGAAGTGATTTCCAACATTTCACTATTCCTGAGTCGAGCACAGCTCTCCAACACATGAATGTTCCCTTCGATTCGGAGAAACAAATATTTTTTCGGAGTGAAGGATGGCAGAAGACACTACACTACCCAGAATCCCCAGCTATCGTTTAAGACTACACAATGTGCTCTGTTTGACAAACCCCCTGATTAGTTCTCAAGCTCTGTGATTGGAAATAACATCTCATATGTCTCGCATCAAATGACATCAAAACGCATTTTAATGGCCAAACTAACTTTAAAATAGGCATTTTCCACCGAAAATAAAACAAAGTTCGGCCATGTTTTGTTTTTTTGCAGGGAGAAATTTGAAGATCACGTGACATAGACGCCAGCCATTGGAAAGAATGGAATGCAGTTGGAGGTCAACCAAGGTCATCCAGTGTCTATCTCAACACCCATATGAAACAGAACTGTAAACAGATTTACTTTTTCTTTATGGATATTTTACAAATCACCCTTTTAAACTTTATTCTTGTTTTAGTTTCATATAGTATTTCATAGCTGTTTTTCATTTATTCTCTTATTTTTTTATAACTATAATGATCATATAAACGTGTGCCTCGGAAATAATTGTTTACATTAATGGTGACCAAAACATTTGAGACCCACTGAGATAACACTGAGAGAGTCCTTTAGCTCACTGAACCTCTCAGTCTGACAGGAGAGGACTCTCCTCCACTTTGTTGTTGAAAAAATTCCTTATATCCGTTAGCATAGCTCGCTAGCACCACAAGCTAACAACAACGATCTCCGGTAGGCTACCGGTGCGCTCTCTCTCTCTCTCTCTCGCACACAAAATGGCTCGTTCCACACACAGACACAGAGCCAAGCTTTAATGAAACACAGAGACCCAGACGTAATAGTACTGTACTGCATCATATTATTTTTGAATCAATAATTGTTCAATTTATGATTTTTTGTTTTTAATCTTTTTTTTCTTTTTTCTTCAGCCATTTTTCCTCCTGGTCTCCCGCGTCCCCCCTGGCATGCCTCTGCGCCCCATATACTATATATATATATATATATATATATATATATATAATCATACTTCACTATAAGGACATTCCGGCCAGGGCTGTGTGGTCACTCCAGGAGACAGCGGGACGTGCAACTCAGAGAAGAGCAGCACCAGCGCTCAAAGAGCTTTTACGC